TGTTGTTTCACTATAATGTGTCTAGGTGTGGCTTTTGTCCTACTAGTATACATTGTGATACTCATATCTGTTATATATATGAGGGCACTTTAAAAAGTTCACGGAAAATAGAATTAAAGATAATACAAGTCTTTCCATGAAATTTTTGAAATACCCTCATATGTGTACCTGATTCTTACCTCTTTGAGAAAAGGAATTTTGTCACCATTTATTTCCCATTCCTTTGTACAATACCTGGATATATATGATGTAACCAATATCTTGTATTAAATTCCTTCTGTTCAAAGTATCTTGTGTGGTTTCTGTTCCTCAACTAGATGCTTGAATGGTATGCTTCTTCCTATACCATGCAATAAACTTAAAATACTTCAACTTCATTTATTGTAACTCTACTTACATGCCATTGTTGTCTGTTTACTAATTCTATCATTTTATCTTCAATTCCACAAATCTTACCTAATTATCATTGTTCTATATAGTCATTAATGGTTTATAATAACCTACATGTCAGTCATTTCCTTTGTTCACCATTTCTTCATGCATCTTAGACCTTCCTTCTAGAATTCTTTTTTTTTTTTTTTTTTTTTTTGGAAGTAGATACTTTAGAAAGCTATTTCCCCTCATATAAAATTCTAGATTGACATTTGTTTCCTCTCAGCACTTGGAAACTATGGTCTTCTGGATTCCACTGTTGTTGAGGAGGCAGCCTCTTAAGATTTTCTCATTGTCTTTGATTTTCTGAAGTTTTACCATGATGTGTCCAAATGTGAGTTTTTGTTTTTTGGTTTTGTCCCCCCTATGTATTTCTGTTTGGAGTTGATTGGATATCTTTAATCTATAGGTTGGTATCTTTCATTAGTTGTGAAAAAATTGTAGTCAACATCTCTTTACATATTGTCTTTGAATCACTGTTTTTCTCTTTTCCTTCTGAAACACAGTAAGATTTATTTGAGTTTATTTTTTTCCTCTGTGTCTCTTAACCTCTCATTTTCTCTTTCTTTTCAAAACATCTTACCTATTTTTCAGTACTAATTGCTATTTTTCTGGGTCTGATCTGAAATTAAAGTCATCCATTAAAATAGTTAAGTACACATCCCAGCCCTCAGTATGCTTACTTTTAGTCTCAGAGGGGAAAAAGAGATAAAAGCAGATCAATATAATACTTTGTAGTACATATTTCATTGGAGGGAAGAAAGTACACTTTGATGACATATTAGAAGGAGCTCCTGATTAGACTGCAGCATGGTTAGGGAAGGTTTCTTGGAGAAAGTAATGTTTCAGCTAATAGTAGGATGGAGGAAAACCAAGTGCAGATTTCTCAGAAGTAAAAAGATTTTTTTAACTGAACATAGAATTTGACAGAAAAATAATAGTGAGAAGTTAGCTTGGAGCTACATCTTTAATGCCTAGATATGAAGTTGGGACTTTATTTGGTAGACACAAGCCATTAAAAATATTTTAGAGGAATTAGTCTTGTCCACTTTTCATCTCATAGCACAATTTATATTGGTTAAATGTGTATAAAGACATGATTTTTTAAGCTTATCTCTAGTGCTTTGTCTACTGTAACTTAAGCATATATAAAACCTCTTTGATCTAATATGTAAACGTTAAAGTGAGTTTATTGAATTTGTATAACATATGTTTAAAATTGTGTAATTATGTTCAGACAATTAGAAGCATGCACAGTATCTTGTAATACCACCCCAAAAAACTGTTTTTTGGTCATTTTAGCAATAGATGCAGCAAATGGAGATTTGTCATTAGTCACAATCATGGATTGTAGTTCTTTTAAGTGTCAAAGTGTATACTTAAGAGTAGATCCAACATTTTTTCTTATCATTTAAAGGTAGTTCTTAGAGTAGAAAAATAACTTTTATCTTACAGAGTTTTCAAAAAAAATTTTTGAATGGAAAGAGCATTAATGAGAGTTTTGATTACCCTCATTTTGAAATATGTTTCTGTATGAAGAAATAAGTTCAACACATATACTGGCGACAATATGGCAAGTTTCCATAACCCATAGGAAAGAAAACTGGAGAGAAGAAAAGTAGCAAGTAGAAAAACAGGTTAAAAAAGAAAATAGGTGAAATAAGTAGCAGCCAAAGGATTTTAACTCAGGCATTCTGATCTCAGAATCCAAACTCTTAAACATTGTGTTATTTCTTATGTTCCTGTAATCCTTATTAAAACTGAGGACATACTTTTCCATAAGAACCGTGTTAGGTATTATAATACTTTTACAAATTCACAGACTATTAGGTCAATGGATATTTCAGTGTCTTAGTACAACCCACTGTAATGTGCAAGAGTTTATTCTATAGTATCTCTACCAAGTTGTAATCTAGCTTTTGTATAAATGCTTCCGGAGACAAGGGACTTTATTATATTTTAAGGCAAACCATTTCATTGTTAGATAATCCAAAAGTGTAAGGAAATTCTCTTTATCTTGTGATAAAATTTTTACCCTCACAACCTTTTACCCATTGATTCTAATTTTCTACCCTGTGGAGAAATAGTAAGTGGACAGCTTTTATAGACAAATGTTTAAATGTTTAGACAGGAATCATTTCTTCTTCTTATCCTAGGCTAAACACCATCAACTGTTTTACAAGCAACACATTTTCCTACTCTTCTCAACTGAAGGCTTTGTACTCTGAATGCATTCCAGTTCTTTTAAAAAATGTACTTACTATAAACTATCTCTATATACCAAATTCTGTGTAATTTAGATTTCTTACAAGGCTCTTGGATCATTTATACAAAAAGAAGAAAGAAAGAAAACCGAAATGTTCCCAAATCTGAAATTTTCAGTTATTGTTATAATGTATAGTTCATTTATGGACTTAGAGATAAACTTAAAACAATGATTACTACTAGTTAATATTTATAGACTATTTTTTATGCGCCATACCCTTTTCTGAGCTCCTTACACATAATTTATTTAATCCTCCCAGTAGCCCTGTGAGGTACATACTATTTTCACTATTTAACAGATGAGGAAAATGAGGCACAGAGCTATATTACTTAGTTTACCCTACGTGTATTACCCTACATTACATGCTTTGTACTGATCTCAATGCCCAAACTGAGATTCAAACCTAGGGACTCTTAACCACTATCCTAGATGTATTCAGTAGTTTTTCTATGAGCTGATCTGAAAACCTCAGGTTTCTATAAGAATGTGTCACTTATAAAATGAGCTTTTGGAGCAGCTCATTTGTAATTTGGGGAATTTAGTTAACATAGAAACCTTTCCAGGGGGGTTAGCAAGAAATTGGTAAAGGGCCACAAAAAATTATTATTTGTGTAATAATAAATATAGAAAAAAATGAATAAATAAAATCTTGAACAACAACAAAAAAATATATAAACTTTTCTTGAATTGAATCCCAGCTAATAACTGTGTGGCTTTGCCTGTTTCCTGATATCTAAAATGTGGATAATATATTTCTGGAAAAGTTATTTTAAAGATTAATATGCACAAATACACATGTATTTGTGTATGCATATATAATTATATTGTTATATATATAAGTATACCCACACACACACACACACACACACACACAGTCTAGTATAATTCTTTACCAGGTCTTTAAATGGCAGAGAGATAGCATAGCACAGCGATTAATAGTATAGACTTTTCAGAATGCAACTGACTAGGTTCGAAACCAAGTTCTGCCACTTACTAGCTGTGTGACCTTGGGAAAGTTTCTTAACCTCTCTGTGCCCTAGTTTTCTTATCTGTAATATGAGTGTAATACTCATAGGGCTGTTTACGAGGATTAATAAGTTTATAAAGCACTAGATCAGGACTTGTGTCTATTAAGTTGTATATAAATGTTAAATAAAACACTTATTTTACATCAACATCTAGCCTAGTGTCTGTATTTTTATTTTAAATAATAGATTATGTTTGCATGTTTTTGAACTAGTGAATTTTTTTAGAGTATACAACCAAATATGAAACATATTTGTTAAAATCAATTAGTCACACCGTCTTATATTGCAGAGGAAGAGAAGGGAACCCTGAAGCACTAAGATTAAGTAACTTGCAGTTTAGGCAGTTTTCCAGAGATTACCAAGTTATTTATCACCTGGACTAGGTCTAGTACTCTAGTCTTCTAGCTTTATTATAAGTAAGGGGGACCTAGTATGAATAAACAACAAAATAATAAACTTCAATTTGAAGAATTTTTAGTTACATGGTAGAATTATTGCAAGTCTTTCAACAATAATGGATTACCCATAATAATTAAAGGGTCCTTTCTGAAGTTTTGGGGGTTTTTTGTTTGTCGGTTGGTTTTTTTTGACTGGTAAGGGGATCACAACCCTCGGCACGGTGTGGTTCGCACCACGCTCAGCGAGCTAGCACACTGGCCATCCCTAATAGTATCCGAACCCGCGGCCTCAGCGCTGCCAGCACTGCACTCTCCCAAGTGAGCCAAGGGGCCAGCCCTGTTTTTGTTTTTTAAATAGAAACAATATACTATTCTTTATGAGAAACCATAGAATTAAATTTTTGGTCTCCCTACACCCCACCACCATCAATCTGATATCAGTAACTATCCTTGAGATATTTTTTATTGTAATTGAGTATTCTCATAGTAGAAAAGAAAATGTGAAGGCTTATATGTTTATGCTTAAGTTATTAGTAATTAGAATTTAGTTTGAATGCACTAGTCAAATTGGTTTGATTTGATTTAAAAAGTAATAGTGTTGAAGAAAACCTTGTGCAATCATCTAATTCAGTTTCAGACTCATTGCAATCGCTTCTACAGGAAGTAGAATCTACCCTGGCAGGTAGTCCTGCAACTCAAATGTTTTCTTTGCTCAAATTGGTTGAATTCTTGTATTATCTATAAGCATAGGGAGATTCCATTTAGGTGACTTCAGGCTTATCTCTGACCCTGTCCTTTATTCTTTGAAAATATTCTTCCAGTTTTAAACAGCAATTGATCCTAGTAAGTAATATTAGCACAATATTTTCTTTATAGATTGCCCAAGGACTCCAGATACTCCGAATAGTGACCCTCGTAATTCTACTAGCAATAATAGATTGATTGCCTTACAAAAACAATTGGATATAGAACTTAAAGTAAAACAAGGTGCGGAGAACATGATACAGATGTATTCAAATGGTTCTTCAAAGGTAAGCACAGTAAATGTAAGTATATAGTCAATCCTCATTATTTGCAGATTCTTCCATATTTGTGAATTCACCTACTCACTAAAATTGTAACCCTAACATCATGGCACTTTGGACATGCAAATGTGGACATGCACTGAAAGGGCAAAAAATTTGAGTCATCTTCTATGCATATTCCCTGCTAGGGTCCAACAAGGAGATGCTCTGCCTTCTTAAGCTCTCATACTGCAAACGGGTATCATTGTTGAGGTCTATTGAGTGCCATGTTTTCTGCATTTTTGTGCTTTTAGTTGGTAATTTCACTGTTTAAACACTATTTTATGATTTCTGAGACCATTTGAGCCTAAATTTGAAAGTATGGACAAAAAAGATTGGAAACATGATTTTATAAAGTAATATTTTAAAAATTCTTTTATCCTACCAAAACCCAGCTAATAAAAAATTTGGCCATATGGGTAAACAGTACACAGGAGCTCTCTGTATCTGTTATTTTTCTGTAAATCTAAAGTTATTTTAAAACAGAAAGGTTTTTTTTGTTTGTTTTAATTTAGGCTGTAATGAGTTTTTCATCACCACATGGCTTTTTAGGAAATGGCAAATGAAAAGACAGGTCATTTTAGCATCGGTGATCACTTGGCCTAGACCTGTGTGTTCTTTGGGATCTAGTATGGACCTATAACTCCCAGTTGAAAAATCACTGTTACAGCAAGCAACTGTTAGTAAATGGGAACATGTTCTAGTTCTTAGGTATAATGTGGCAGAAAAAATGTTGGAAACCACTGAACCAGATTATCCTGAAGACTCTTTCCAACCTAAGGTTCTGTAGTTATAATTTCCAAAAATTTTGAGAAAGTATATTTATTATAAAGTTCACCTTTCTACTCTCAATTTATCTTAATTCTTACCTTTGCAAATCAATGTTTCTTTCATATTTTAATAGATATTTCTTAAATAATTTTAAAATAAAAGTTCTTAAGTATTTTTGGTTTGTTTGTTTTAGCTAGAAAGAATTTGAGATTGGGGGAAAAAGTTTTTTAGTCATGCATATCCCACTTACTCAACCCAAGATTAAGTTTGGGAATATGCTGAAAAGACCAAAATGTGTATGTGTTATGAATAAGGCTTTTTAAGGTTATTTATGAAAATCAGATCATATGCCATATCTCAAGAGAATTCTTGTTATTTTTAGAGAAAAATTTTTCTATTTGATATGAGAGGATATTATTTTACTAACCTTGAACATTTATTATCGGATGATAGAGTTCTGTGCTGTTATTTTTTACATTGACCTTTAGTTTTGGGGATTTTTTATGTGTGTGTGTGTGCAGCTAGTTGCTGCAGGGATCAAATCCTGGACCTTGGTGTTTATCAGCACTATACTCTAACCAACTGAGCTAACCAGCGGCCCTGGATTTTTCATTTCTATCAGATGTTGTTTTGGACTTTTTTTTTTTTTTTTTTTTTAAAGCAAATACTGTGTTCTAGGAACTGTAAATGTTCCACATTTTGCTGAGCATTTTTAAACTAAATTAACCAGACAGCTGTTCTCTGGAGTAAGGTTTTTTAGTCAGGGGTTGATGGATTATTTGAGGAGTTTATGAACCCTTTCAAGTTATAGGAAAAGCAAGTGTGTATATTGATAGTTGGTAAATGAGAGGGCCCAAAAGATTAAGAACCACTGCTCTCAATTGAACAGGGTTGTGACATACTAAAATAAAACAAATAGATAACATAATAACTACAGGTCCAAAATGAACAGCGCTGTGAACCTCCTACCAAAGCAAATATATAATTTTCCAATAGCTTTTTTTTTTAACTAGAAAATTCATTAATTTGAGAAGGACTCAAGTGGAATTACAAAGTCTGTTTGTAGCTGCTATAGTCTCTGTGGTAGGCCTGCCAGTTATTGCCATCTAGATTTGATCTTAACTGTTTTCATTCCTCATCTTTAAATTTCTCAGAGGGTCAAAGTACATCTTTATGAGATTTGGGAAAATTGTAAATTGAAATCATGTGGAATATTAATTTAATTTATTTATTAATGATTTAATTACATTTGATAGCCATTATGCTAGGCTCTGTGGTATAAATGTAAAGATGGTGCCTTATACATAGTAGGTATTCAACTGATAATATCCTGCTTTTAAGACACCCATTATTAAAAAGGAGATTATCACATGTAAATAATTACAATATATAATAGGGGTTTGTTTGCGTTACTTTGAAGGCACACTGGAGAAGAATCACTTAACTGCCAGAAGAAATCGTTTAAGTTTTAGTATGAGATTTGAAAGATTATCTGGCATTTAAGAAAGAATCACTTTCTAGGTGTTGTGGTGTGGGTAAACCCAGCATATACAGGATAAGAAACTGTGGAATAGAAGGGAAGTGCCCACAGCCCAGCAGCTGCCAAGGTGAGCCAAGACCTACACGGCCGGGGATCAGTCTGAGGCCACAGAAAGCTGGAACAGGAACCAAGGTGGTGTAATATAGACACCGCCACACCTTCTATCACCACAAGGACAGTTCACCACCACAGTAGCAGCCAGGGCCACTCTACAGTAAACCTGCCACTCACTTGACTACACTGATATAAGAAGAGTCACTAGTAGAGCCTGCAGATAGAGGAGGAAATCTTTATTCTCGTAGCCAACCCCAGAGTAATAGAAGAAGCAAGTCCTCTACCAGATAACCAAACATCAATGAAAAAGTACTAGAACTGCAAACAAACAAGAAGATAGACACCACCAAAGGGATATAGTAATGCTCAAATTCCATACCCCATAGAGCAGAGAGTCCTTGAAATGTCTGAAAAGGAATTCTGAGCAGTGATCTTAATTAAGAAAACTCAAAGAGATAATAGAAGACTCAATAAAAGAACACAAGGAAACAAGAAAAAATATCCAGAATATGAAGAAGGAAATTTACAGAGAGATTAATACCTTTAAAAAGAGTGTAGCAGAATTCCTAGAAATGAAAGATTCACTCAATGAATAAAAAAACACAACAGAGAGCTTGAGCAGCAGGCTAGAGCAAGCAGAAGAAAGAATTTCAGATTACGAAGATGGTCTTTTTGAAATAACCCAGGCAGAGGAAAAAAAAAGGAAAAAAGAATTAAAAATAATGAGGAAAATTTAAGAGAGACAGAAGACAACCTCAGGCACTCTGACATCCAAATTGTGGGTATTCCAGAAGAGCAGGAGGGGAGGAGAAAGAAAAAGGTATTGAAAACCTATTCAAGGAAATAATAACAGAAAACATCCAAGGTGTATGGAGAGATGCAGACCTTTAGATTCAGGAAGCTCAAAGGTCCTCAAACAGATTCAATCCAAAAGGATTCTCTCCAAGACACATTATGGTCAAATTTGTAAAGCTCGAAGACAGAGAGAAATCTAAAAGCAGCAAGAGAAAAGCATAAAGTCACCAATAAGGGAACCCCTGTCAGACTAACAGCAGACTTCTCAACTGAAACCCTACAGGCCAGAACAAAGTGGGAGGATATATTCAAAATACTAAAAGAACAAAATTGCCTGCCAAGAATTCTTTACCCAGCAAGGCTCTCCTTCAGAAATGAGGGAGAAATAGTGTATTTCCCAGACAAACAAAGGTTTTGCGAGTTTACCACCACACAACCAGCCCTACAAGAAATTCTCAAGGGAGTCCTTCATCTGGAATGTGAATAATGATGATCACTATCACAGATACACAAGAAAGAGCAAAACCCGCTATTAAAACCAAAATGCCTGTGAGAAAGAGAAAGAAGCTAAATCATGCTTCCTCAAATTTTCAACTAACATGGTAGACATAAAAGGGTAAGTAGTGATCAAGAGATATTTAAAACATCTAAACAAAAAGCAATTAATGACAGAAATTAAACAGTACCTGTCAATGACTACCCTAAATGTGAATGTTTTTATTTATTTTTTATTTATTTATTTTTTTTGTCTTTTGTCTTTTTCCGTGTCCGGCAACGGATCGCAACACTCAGTGTTGCCCCCGTACCGGACCGGGGACCGGCAATGGGATTGCAACCCTCGGTGTTGCTCCCGCGCCTCGCTCAGCCAGTGAGCGGGAACTGGTCTGTATGTGGAACCCGACCCCGCGGCCGGGAGCGCCGCCACGCTTCCCAAGCGGCGCACTTATCCAGTGCGCCACCGGGCTGGCCCCAAAATGTGAATGTTTTTAAACTCCTCATTCGAAAGACACAGATTGATTGGATTAAAAAGCTAGACCCAAGTATATGCTGTCTTCAAGAGATTCATCTCACCTATAAAGACACACAGACTAAAAGTGAAGGGATGGAAAAAAGATACACCATGCAATTGGAAACCAAAAACGAGCAGGAATAGCTGTTCTTATATCAGATGAAATAGACTTTAAACCAAAAAACATAAAAAGAGACAAGGCCAGTATGTAATGATAAAAGGATCTATCCAGCTAGAAGACATAACAATCATAAATACATATACACCCAATACTAGAGTACCCAGATATATAAAGCAAACATTCTTACACCTGAAGAAAGAAATAGGACCAAATATGTTAATAGTGGGTGACCTGAACACTCCTCTCTCAGTACGAGACAGATCTTCCAGGCAACAAATCAACAAAGAGACACAGGATTTAAACTACACCTTAGACCAACTGGACCTGGCAGAAGCATACAGAACATTTCACCCAACAACTAAAGAATATACTTTCTTCTCATCAGCACATGGAACATTCTCCAGGATAGGCCACATATTAGGTCACAAATCCAGTCTTAGCAAATTTTAAAATATTGAAATCATTCCAAGTATCTTTTCAGACCACAATGGACTAAAACTGAAAATTAGTAACAAGGAAAACCCTGGAAACTGTACAAATACGTGGAAACTAAACAATAGGCTTCTGAATGACTTATGGGCCCAAGAAGAAATTAAATAGGAAATCAAAAAATTTCTTGAAACTAATGAAAATAAAGGTACATCATACCAAAACCTGAGGGATACTGCAAAAGCAGT